CTTCGTCTGAGCTCCCGTGTCCTGGATGTTGGGGAGCATGGTGTTGGGGTGCAGCACTGGGGACTGCTTTTCAGACTGTCTGTGCAGTCACCATCCTGGTCAGCGGTCCCCAACCCTGGGGACCTGGCCCCTTGTGGCCACCCAAGCAGCCTATCAGGGCCAGCACTGGGGGCCATGAGCAAGTCTGTCTGTGATCCTGCACACGCAGAAAAATCAGCAGGAAGCGGGGGAGGGGACACAGCTTGGTGTGGATGGACGCTGTGAGCTGCTGCGTCCCCTGGGTACAGGGAGCTGTGCACACGGTGGCCCAGCTGGTGGGGCTTGGGGGTGATGCTCGTGCTGGTCAGCGCTGGTCGCCTGCAGGGCTGCCAGGCCCAGGGCTGGGGAAGGACGGCCCCAGCCCCTGCAGGGTGACTACAAGCTGCTCTCCTCTCCCTTTCTCAGCCTCATCCCCCACATCCAACCTGTGAATTGAGGGACACTGCCGAAGTCACACGGCATTGGTCCAGAGGCCTCCATCTGGGATGATGTGGTTTCTGTAGCTCTTCTGTGCCCTGTGCATGCCTTCTGAACGCTGTGTAAATCATGGTTAGACATTGCTTTGCCAAAAGGATGAATTACTCATTTGCAGTGGTGGAAGGACCAACGGTCTTGTCCTAGGTGGGATTCCTGAGGTTACGTTGCCCCTGTAGGGCTCAGAGGTGGAGGAAGAACTTGCTCTGGTGCCTGGGGGGCCTGGAGACTTAATGGGAAGACCGGAATGGGGATGTAGCTATAGCTCCTGGACTCCCAGGACTGGTCCTAAGTGGGGTTTGGGGATAGAGATGATCAAGAACAGGCAGGTCCACCTGGGGGTCCTCCGTGGCCTTGACACCCATGCCCTCAACCTCCATCTAAGGCCCCCTCGTCCTGGGCGCTAGGAGGGCCCTCATCATGGGCTGGCTGGCTGGAGGCCCTTGAGAGGATTTGGGGGGAAAGGAGTCCTTGTGGATCCCCTGTGACAAGCACAGGGCCTGGGACACCGTCAGTGGTCTAGACACGTCTGAATGGAAAACGTTGGAACAGATGAACACGGCTCCCAACCCAGGGAAGCCAGAGTGCGTCCACCTAGCCATTCGCGGATGAAAAGCCTCATCTTTTCAGGACCTGAGTTGTCACACAGGTTCTGCGAGAACCACTGGAGATCTGTACCCTGCTGTCCTCTGGGGAAGGAGAGGCAGTCCTCCCCGTGTCTGGGGTGGGTACATTTTGCTGCTCTCCTCTGACCCCGGTACCTTGTAGGCAGGATGTACGCTCATGGATGATAAGTATGTACCAGCATTCCCTGCAGCTCACACGTCTGTGCACACCCTGTGCCTCGAGTGTCGTCGGTGCGCATATGCACATGTACTACATGCACGCCGTCCGTCCACAAAGGCTGGTGCGCTGTGGCTGTATTGTGTATGTGGTTTAGGTACTGGTGTAATGTACATGGTGTGTGTGCCTGTATGTTCCCGGTGCCTGTGTCCCTCTACCCGCTCATATACTGTTAAGTTCCAAAGGCATGTGTATATATTCTGTAGAAAGTACCCATAGATGCGACGTCTGTGTATCGCACAATTTAGGCATACTCTGTGTGTACATGTGATAGGTGTAGACCCGTCCACACGCAGTGCCTGCTGCATTGTGTCCGAGCAGAGACAGTGAGCAGATCCAGTGCACAATAAAACGGAGTATATTCATTAGGGCCTTTGCAGGAAGTAGCACTCTCAATCTGAGAAATCAGCAAGCTATTTATAGACTCTTCTGGAAAGTGTGGGTCTGGTAGAGGGAAAGCAACCCGGGAGGGTGTGGCATTCTGGATGAGCAATGACACAGAGCTGTCTGTGTGTCCGGGAACAGTCACTGCAACTGTGGACTGCAGCTGTGAGCCTGCTGGTAGGGGTGACTTGTCACCAAGGTCCTCACCTTCCTCCCTTCCTCTGACCTCCTGACCAACTAACTGGAAACCAGAGAGCAGGGAGGAGGTGGGTGCATCCGGATGGGGAAATTGAAGACGTCCTGCCTCGTTGTCTCTTTCCGGGAAGCGTCGCACACTTAGCAACTGGTCTGCCATTGTGGTGAGAATGCTCCTGGGCCCAAACCACAGGGCCGTAGATGTATTCATGTGGAAGGCCTGGAACTCTGGGGTGTTTACCTCCCACAGTTTGTCATGCACACACCTCACTAAGGCATGACCCCACTGTAATGGAGCAGTGAGATATACCACGGGACGTCAGAATGATGGAGTCCGTTCATTCTGCAGAAGGACAGATGGCAGGTGACCGGACACGGGGTTTACAGACATACCACTGTCCAGCCATAGGAAGGAAACTGCTTCTGAACATCACTACTGGCAGGAATGGGTGCGGTCTGGGCACCCCACGTGCAGTTTTTGACCTGGTCAATGCTGTGTTGGTTTTCTCTAGAAAATATATCACATCTGGATCTGCTAGCTAATATTACCACCTTAGTCAGTTTCCAACCACCTGCCGTTTTCCACCCTCCATCTGGCTTTTGTATGAGCTATGCAGGTGAGCTCTCTGGAGATACAGTGGGATTCCCACCCCTGCATTTTGTATAAATATAAACCCTCTTGTTTACCAAGATGTGCTTCTTTCTTTCCTGAAGACCTAAGCCTCCATCTGGTATCATTTCCCTCTAGGAAGAAGAAGTTCCTTTGGTAATTATTCTGTGCAGATCTACCGGTAACGAGTTTTCTTGAATGTAAAAAAGTATTTTGACTTCATTCTTAAAGGATATTTCCTGTGGATGGACAATTCCAGGTTAATGGTCTTTTTTTTTTTTTTTTAAGCTCCTTGAAGATGTTATTCTACCATTTTCTGGCCCCCATTATTTATGATTAGAAGGAAGAGGTATTCAAATTGTTCTCCAGGTGATACCTTGTTTCTCTCTGGCTGCCTTTAGGATCTCTCGTTGGTTTTCAGCAGTTTGACTCTGATGTGTGGTTTTGTGTTTATCCTACTTGGAGTTCACTGGGCTTCTTGAATCTGTAAATCTGTGTCTTTCACCAAATTTGATTAATTTTGGCTATTCAAATTTCTTTGGTCTTTTCTCTTTTCCTTCTGGGATGCCTTTTGATGCTCTCCTGAAGGTGTCTGAGGCTCTCAGAATTTATGATAATTTGTATTGCTCTCTGTTCTTCAGCTTGGACTTCTATTGCTGCATTAATCACTCTCCCCATTACCTTTCTGTTTCCCTCTTCTATCCTTTCTGGCCTGACTCCAACTTCATTTTTCCTTTTTTGCAAGGACTATGGGGTTTTTGAGAGGCTGGAGGTCAGTGATGGCTCAGGGGGATTGAGGACCAGAGAAGATGAAGAGAAGACATCTTGGAGGCAAACAAATGATGTCATCTCTCTAGTAAGAGTATGGACCCTGGGGCGGGTAGGACATGGCACAAATTCCTGCCAGGGGAGGGACAGACAGACCATCAGTGATAGAGACTTGGTAGAGAGGTGTGGCCTTGGGCAGTCAGATGAAGATTCCTGTGGGAGACTGTAGGGACCAACCAGATCCCAAGACCTCCACCCCCCTGCCCACTGAGTACCAGGCCCTGGACTAGGTGCTGTCTGACTCAGCAGATCTGCACAACCCCACCTGCAAATTATTATCCCATGTAACAGAAACTAGGGTTGGAAGAGGTTGCCTGGTGTCCGAGATAATACAGCTGGTTAAAGGACTAGGAGCCTGTGAGCATATGGCCTAGGGTAACACCAGGGAAGCCTTTCTTGATGGGGCAGGATTTGAGATGTTGGAAGGCCATGTTCATCTTTCAAGCTCTTGGTCCAAATACTGCCTGTGATTTGATTCCTTCCTTCCTTCCTCCCTCCCTCCCTCCCTCCCTCCCTTCCTTCCTTCCTTCCTTTCTCCACAGTATTAGTCCCAGAACTTGATCTAGAGCTTACTGAGTCTCATGTTCTTCCAGCCATGTTGTACAGACCCTATCCCGGCTCTGATATTATTACTAAGTAGTTGAAGGATTCCTGGGGGGTAACTGCACCTTTCTAGCACCCTGTCCTCATTCTGAATGGGTGGGAATATGGACTCAACTTTGCACAGTTGACGTAGGGGATTAATGAAGTGATGTGCTTCGAAGTTTCATGAAGAATTTCAAAAGCACTTATACCTGTGTGGTTCTTAGAGGATTACTTGCTCCCTCTTTCCTAAGAATCACAGTGGTGCAACTGTATTCCTTCATTTATTAAAGAAATAATCTACATGCTATGTGTTATTCCAGGTGTGGGGGATCCAGCAGTGAACAAAACAGATACAAGTCTTTGCCCTCATGGTGTTTATATTACATACTCTGTAGTTACTCCTCTTGATTCAAAATCTCTGCTTCTAAGCCTCATTCTTGGTGCTTGAAAACTGGTTTCAAATCCCAGTCCTGAAGGACTCAAGTTATCCTACTATTAAGTAACTAACTTAGTTTTCTTGTTGTTGGTGTCAGACCCATTATGCCTCCTTTGTAGGGTTGTTAGGAGGTCAGAATAAGGCCCTGTAGGACCAGGACCCCACACAGAGCCTGGTATGCAACAGTAATGTCCATCCACGGTGGACATATTTAATTTTCTCCCTTGGACTCACTACTTTTGCGGCTTATTAGTGAGTATGCTGCTTTTCCTTTTAAAATCTTTGTTTTGCTCTGAGAAGAATGTGCCGCTCCTCTGATCTGAACTGCCCCCAAATGAAATGCCCCAGAGCACCCCTCCCACCCCTAAACTGCTTTGTTCTTCTCTTCCCCCTCCTCCAGGATATGGGCAGTCCCCGACGCCATCCCCATGGAAGCGCCCCGGCCCCTTTCCCACCCCAGCCTCCCTCCCTTGTCCTCCCCTCTCTCTCCCTCCCAGCTCACCGGCATGCCCAAGCGCCCTCCCTGCGGAAATGCCAAGGCCAACCGCAGCGCGCGCCTCCCAGAGCGCTCCTCACTCCTTCTCCGTTTCTCTCCACCCCCCTCAGGTTACGGGCACGCGGCCCCCGGCACCGACGCGGGCAAGGCCTTCTGCATGTTCTACGCGGTGCTGGGCATCCCGCTGACGCTGGTCATGTTCCAGAGCCTGGGCGAGCGGATGAACACCTTTGTGCGCTACCTGCTGAAGCGCATCAAGCGGTGCTGCGGCCTGCGCAGCACGGAGGTGTCCATGGAGAACATGGTGACCGTGGGCTTCTTCTCCTGCATGGGGACGCTGTGCATCGGGGCGGCCGCCTTCTCCCAGTGCGAGGAGTGGAGCTTCTTCCACGCCTACTACTACTGCTTCATCACGCTGACTACCATCGGGTTCGGGGACTACGTGGCCCTGCAGACCAAGGGCGCCCTGCAGAAGAAGCCGCTCTACGTGGCCTTTAGCTTTATGTACATCCTGGTGGGGCTGACGGTCATCGGGGCCTTCCTCAACCTGGTGGTCCTCAGGTTCTTGACCATGAACAGCGAGGACGAGCGGCGGGACGCCGAGGAGAGGGCGTCGCTGGCCGGGACGCGCAACAGCATGGTCATCCACATCCCCGAGGACGCGCGGCCCGGCCGGCCCCGCTGCAAGGCCGACGCGCCGGACCTGCCGTCCGTGTGCTCCTGCACCTGCTACCGGCCACAGGACCACGGCGGCCGCGTGGCCGCGCAGCACAACTCCTTCAGCGCCAAGCTCGCGCCCCACTACTTCCACTCCATCTCCTACAAGATCGAGGAGATCTCGCCAAGCACACTGAGAAACAGCCTCTTCCCCTCCCCCATCAGCTCCATCTCCCCCGGGTTACATAGCTTTACCGACAACCACAGGCTGATGCGGCGGCGGAAGTCCGTTTAGGGTGCGGGGCGGGCGGCGCCGGCAGAAGCGGTCGCTCGTCCGACTTGACCTCGAGCTCCACCGGCCCACCTCGTCCGTTCCTTCGTGTTTATTATCAGTATCCTTTACCGTTGTCCTCATTCTCTGTGTTACTTTCTCTCCTTCCCTTTTCCGTGGTCCCGCCCCCGCTCCCCCAGGACTCCCCTCTCCCCCTCTGCTCCCCACCTGCTCCCCCACCTCCCTGCGAGAGACAGAGCTGGCCCAAGGGAAGAGAAAGGCCCATCCTCCTCTGAAACTCGCGTCTGAGCATGAAGCATGGATTCCTTCCTTCCTTCCCAGCGAAGTATGCCTTACACTTCTCCGCAGCCTGCCCCATCTCCGGGGTGGCTTTCCCAGGACAGGGGTGACACCAAGACCACCAGGCAGAGCCGAGAGGATACCCAACCCAAAGTTGCACACCAGGCTGCCAGCCCGCGAGTGTCCACCCACGTGCCGTCTGACCTAAGTCCTCTGTGTCCTCCTCCCCAGCGGTGGGTGGTTGTGGGTGTGTGCGTGTGCGGACTACGAGTGAGTGAGGGCGTGCACACGCCCGTGTGCTTCTGTGTGTGCGTGTGTGTGCGCGCTCTGTGTGACAAAACGGAAAGTTTTAGGTATTCACAGATTTCTTTCTCCGTGACTCAGTTCTGTTACTAACCTGCTTTCAGCGGCTTCCAAACAAAACGGGGAAACCAAACCCATGGGGATTTGATTTATCATTCTGCCAAATCAAGCATGTTCCGTGAGCGGTCTTTCTCCCAGACGGGTCATGACCATATTTTTTAAATGCTACGTTCTAAATTATATTAAACTTCTTTTTAAGGGGACGGGCGGGAAAGAAGACGTGGCTCTTCTTCGCTTGCCAGTTCAAAAATTTTTTAGAAGCATGCACTTTGTTCGACGGGTACACATTATCCACGCAAGACAACAAAACTAGCAATGAGCAGTCCAAAGCCAGTAATAATATTAATTTATTAAAGGCATTTCTGTCACCTGCAGCCCCAACGATTTACCATGCAACTGGGAGTGTCAGGGGAAACTGGAAAATTGTTGGAGCCACAGAATGTTCTGTTACTTCTCTCTTATTTATAGGAAGGTGGCGGCCATGGTGGGGGGTTTGACATCTACCTGCATAAGTGAGAATTCTGGTTTGGGATGCTTGGATGACAATGGGTATCAGGTGGATGTGGCTTATTTTCTTAATAAAAAAAAAAAACTGACAGGGCATTCCTTGTTTAAAAAAAATATATATATATATATGTATTTCGAGAAAGACAGTCTCTAATTGCATTTGATTTGTAAATAAGGGCGACAAGTCTGTGTTGGTCTCAGGAAGTGTTTAGAGGCAAAGGATCGGTGTCTTGGCCTGCTGGGAACTTGTCAGTCTCAGGGGACAGTTTTCCTGAGTAGTGGAGAAATTCCTTCCCATCGTCCCCTTGGACAACCCCAAGGGAAGGCCTGTTAATCTCCTAGGGGAGGGCTAGGCTATAGAATAGGGTACACTGGGGGCCTCATTGATGACAGGAATAAAGAAAGATCTGGAAACTAAATTCACAGAGGTGACTTTCACTTCCCTTGACACGCCCCCCCCCCCCCCCCGCTATTTCTAGAAGCCACCCGTCTTCCCATGCCTTTTTCATAAACTGAACATCCGTGGCTCTTGGATAGAAACAGGCTTTGGCTTTGGCCCAGAAGGAGCAGTGGGAGCCCCCATGGGAATCTCCCAGAATGGAGGGTCTGCTCCCTAGAAAGGGACCGTCAAGATTTCTGAAAGAAAAAGGCACCAACGCCACAGGCCCCGAGTGTTTGGGCCATTGGACTGAAACGCAGCTGTCCAGACTCCTCCAAAGTGGAGGGCCCTGTAAGGTGTGTGGGCCCCGGGCCTGTGGAAGTGGGGAGGGGGGTCTGCGAACTGCCATTCTCAACCTTCAAGGTTGTCTCGAGTCACTCATTTTTAAGTATATATATTTTTCATTTTAAGGCTCTAAAATCTGTCCAGAGAAGACATTTTTTCCCCCTTGGAAGAAATTTTTCTTTTCTTTCTTTCTTTCTTTTTTTTTTTTTTTTTTTTGGCGGGGGTGTCGTAGGTATGAAACCAGTGGATCTTTGCAGAATGTCTCATGCTTTGGAGGAGAGTGCTGGGAAGCCATGTGGGGTTGCTCGTGAAAACCTTTGCAAGGTTTGTCCTCAAATGGGGTGTATGATCACCTTTGATTTGTAAGGGCAAGTGAGGTACAAGAGGCTGAGAGGTTTGCTCGGAGCTGGTCCTGGTCTAAGCCTCCCCCTGATGCGGGCACCTGCTTCTCTCTGTCCACGGGCAGAAGCCCCAGGCCTCTGGGGTCAGCCCTTCATTCAGGGCCGATTCCTTGACAAAAATATCTGTTTAAAGTGGTCTTTTCCTGTTTAAAATGCTTCCAGTGGCAGGGAGATCCTCCTTTCCTGGGGAAGTGGAGAAAACATTCCATATTCTGTATTTCCACAGACCAGACTGTTCTGTGTAGCTTTAAGAGATGCAGGATGAAGTTTTTTCTGTTCAGTGGTGACCGTCAACTGAAGCATTGGAAGGAAGGTGGACTCGGTCTGGTCTCCACCCCCCTCCTAGTTCTCGGTCCTGGACTATGGCTCAGCCCTCTGATGGGCCATCAGGGAGTCCCCTCTTCCAAAGTTAAATATCTTTGTTCATGCTTGGAATACTCAGGGCACAGTGGGGCAGCTTGGTTTGCTTCCTTTTCGATGTGCATCTTTTTCTCAGATGGCCTGGGGTGGGCTCTGGCTGAGGAGCCCTCCATGTACACCAATGAGGTGCTTTTACGGGGGACTGAGTCAGGGGCCTCCAGGGACCTTCCCTCCTGATAAAATGGGGCTGGAGCATCTCCATCCGGAGAGCTTGGCCGCCTGAGATGGCCCAGTCAGCAGGAGGATCTTCAAATGCCAACAGGCTGCTTGGTCTGGGGCACCTCACCGAGCTCCCTCATCTTCAGAGGAGGAAACCGAGGATCCGGAAGGGGGAGCCAGCAGCTCAGATCAGCTGGCCAGCCTCTTGGTCTCCCCAGACATCTCTCCTCTTGCTGTCTTCGTGGCTGCTGGGGCACTGCTGTTGCTTATACCTCAAAGGTCCCTCTGCGCCTCGGGCCCAGTCTGTTTCTCCCTCCCGCCACGGGTGACTTTCCTACGTCTGGCTTCTCGGCCCATCCTTCCAGGCGGCAGTGCCCGCTCAGCCAGAGGAGAGGACACACGAGGCTGGAGACAGGTTTCTGCTTCCTCCAGGATGAGCTGAGGCAGGGCTACGTTCCCCCAGAATGGCAGAGCGCTGGCTGGCCACCCAGTTCTAGAGATTGGGTCTAGGAAATGTGCCTCGTGGGTCCTTAAAGGGCTTTGGACTTACTTGAATGCCTCTCCAGGTGAGCAGTCACAGTCTGTCCGCTCCACCAAAGACAGGAAGAAGGCGGGTCGTGCGCGGTGCAGGTCTGGGCTCCTCCAAGAGATCTCCCCGTTTTGCTCTTGACCACACCCATGCCGGGTGGAAGATGCTGTCGTGCCGCAAGACCCTTAGACTCTTAATTACCTAGGTGAACCCATGGTCCGGGTTTTGAGATGCCTGCTTAGCGCCAGAGCTGGGATCAGATCTCTTCTTTCCAGCCACAACACTCTGGTCTTGAAACCCAGGCAGCAGACCCTTAAGCACGCTGGGCTGCCTGGGGCTCCCTGAGCATCTCTCATGTCCCTGCTCTACGTCACTGACCCGCCCTCGGGCACGATCTCAGCAGGTCATTTGAGGTCCAGAAATCCAGAGAGGAAGTACCTGGGCCCACCCTGCTGCCCGAGAGGCCCGCCTTTGCAGGGCCTCCAGCCCCGTCTCTAAGAAGGGGAGAGTGACTGCAGGATTTGGCTTATGGCTTCTTCCCTGCACACGGGGCCTTAAGTGGGGGAACGTCTGGACAGTAACTCAGAGGTCCGCAGGGAAATCCAGGAGGTCACTTTTCTCTGCCCCACCTCGATCTGAAAGCCTTGTGGATTTCTGATTCCTGGCAGGGATCGGCAGCATCTGGAAGCTGGAGGGAACGGGTTAGAGGCTTGCGTGGTCTCTGCGTGGAGCCGGAGAGGGAGGTATGAGAGCAAAGGACAATCAGAGGAGAGAGCCACCCGCCACTGAGGTCTGTGGCCCTGTCTCTTTCTGTGGTTTTTAAAAACAATCGTGCCTAATTAGCATCCATGGAGGTTTAAGGCCTGAGGCCTGTGCTGGAATGTGTCCCTTCTGGTTGTGCCATACGATGCCATTCCCTCAAGCGCCCTTGCGTGTGTGGGTTTACTCCTGAACGGGGAGGGGATCAGACTGGGGGCCTGTCCTGTGTGGACCTGCTGCTGGGGCTCCAACGTCGGTTTCTTCCAGCGTCATGGCTTGTGTGGGACCCTGGATACATCCTGGGTGGGGAAGGGGTGGTGGGGCGGAGCCCGCGCTTCCTGCTTCACTGGGCCCCCAGAAGTCATGTCACCTCCCTGGGCCTCTGCTGCTGTCTGGCAACACAATGGGATGGGGCCGGCGGGTCCTAAGCCGGGACCACCTCCCACAGAATGAATCTGACCCGTGAAGATATTTGGCCTGATGTTCCGGTCAGTGAGCACATTGAAAGGTCGGGACACCAGAAAGAATATGAGAGACCATGTTGTTCGGCAGGGTGCTGGGGAGACGGTGCCACCGCTTGTCCCCTCTCCGAGAACAGAATGCCCTCACATGAGCCAGGCCCCATGAATTCCAGGTCCCCCAAACTCTGGGCATAAGGCCGTTTGATGTGGCTCTTTCTTGACCACACCTTGGTAGATGGTGCTGTTTTTGGGGAAAATCTATTTCCATGTGATTCTCCCACCGACTTTGTTTGGAAATTCCAGATTAAAGAAGAGTTGAAAGAGTGCGCGCGGCCGCGGTATGCACATCGCCCAGACCCGCCAGCCTGCAGTGTCTTACGACAGTCGCTCGACCCTCTTCTACACCCACCCCGACGTATGTGGAGGAGGAAGTGGGGTCTGCAACGTTTAGGTGGCTCACCACGCCCCCAAAAAAGATGTGGGGACAAGAGGGTTTTCCTGGAGACAGTGCCCCTAGTATCCTAGGATACTTAACTTTCGTGCAATATTATCTAAAATACAGCCCACATTCACATTTTCCCAGCTGTCCCCAAAACA